CTCTTTCTTCTTAGATTAAGTGCTAAGACTACACAAAACAGACAAGCCTTTTGGAAATGGCTTCGTCACACGACTTGAAGGTGACTGAAAGACGGGCTTGAATGTTCAAAAGGCTCATTGATCCACCTAGAACAGCTGAACTGATCTGATCAAGAAAAAGAAGGAAGAAGAAAAGCGTCACTGTTCATTTTTCATATTTTTCTGTTTCTCTTAAAGAGCCTGACTAGTTGGTCATAAAGCATTCATTATTGAGCCAGGCTGCCTGGCAGTTGTTCCTGACCAGTTTGTCTGCCACCTGCTCAGCTGCACCTTGGGCTGCAGATACCCACTATCTGTTACCACGGCCGAGGAGCTCACGAACGAACAACGGATCAGCATTGTAAGCTCCTGGCTGCATCTGTAGCTGTGCTTCAATGGCAGAGGAGAAAAAACCAACACCACCAAAAACTAGGATAAAAGCCACAAAAGAAGTGTGAAAAATTGAGTATATTACAGAAAAGATATTTTAAAAAAATGATAAAAATCTAGGAGAAAAATCATATTGGAGCAAAGAAAACAAATGCAAAACTGCTGACAGCCCTAAAAGAGGAGCAGGAGCTACTGTATTCCCTGAGCACGGAGTTTAAAAGCTAGAAAGCAAAGCGTGCTGTTCAGTAAACGAAGGAACACAGAACACACAAATTTGACAAAACAACGTTAAAAAATTCCACATGGAAGTTTTTGTCCTGGCACTACAGTACTCCACCACAACTACAGCAATCAATACTTTTATTTTCATTGTTCCCTAAAGTACATTTTAGAAGTAGCAGCCCACCTCTCTAGATTCAGGTGTTCTGCTTGGAGCGTCAGGAATAACTCCCCCAATTCCCTTTTCCATAAAGTATGATGGGCTTCAAGCAATCCAGGGAGAGTCTGATAATAAGTTATTCTTTAAATTAATACAAAATTAGATATATTTAGACACTACAGTTTCCTAGCGATATGGAAATGCATGGCTGGGAGGCTGGAAAAACAATGGTTCTATTAATTTCAAAGAAAAGCACAGTAAAAAGGAGACAGCCTACAACAGAACTACTCTTAAAAATACTTATTTCCTTCGCTTCTCTTACCCAGATCCTGGATGCTTCCCAATGCAGAAAGTGGTAAATCTTAAAAAGTTATTCTACTGAATACAAAATAAAAACCCTCTGGTTTAAGTTTATTTAAGTGGGTTTCTAAGCAGCTCTGATATAGCCATAAATCTTTGTTTCTTGTTACACATCCTTATCACACATATCGTTGCTGCAATAAAAATCTAGCAGCAAAAGACGGGACAGAAAGCGACGCGGATTCCCTAGAATTTCTAAGGGAGCTTAGTTTCACAGCTCTCCTGCTTAGTGATTCTGAAAACTTCTTCAAGCAGCTCATGTGGGCCAGTGTTGACACAAAACCAGCAAACTGCTCAGACCAGTTAGTTACAAAAGCTGACAGAACAATCCTTATCTTCCCCTTGCACTTCTAAACACACAAACTTTGATCTATTTTCTAAAAGATCCCGGATACAATTCAACTACAGCCATACCAAAGGCTACGGACCAGCCTGATTTTACATGTTGTTGAAATTCTGCAGACAGTCCAGAGATGG